ACACACACACACACACACACACACACACTCATCCTCATTGGAGAGGCACATAACGCAAAAAGCTTGATTACCTGTGATAGAAATCATGAAAGCTATGACGCTTCAGCTCATTCTTTCGAGGCGGGCGGATGGAGGAGTACTCGCTCTCACATTTGTAGGAGTACATGACACTGCCGAACGTGAAAATGTTCTGTATATACCCTGCTCTGGTCACAAACGATTTCGTCCCGATATTTTGCTCAGAAAAGATTTAGTTGCTACACAATTTATATGATCACAAAGTGATAAGTCTGTTTATCAAATTGATAAATGGTCCCCGGGCACTGTTAATAAACTATTCCCTTCAAATGTATACAGTTAACACACGATTTTGAAGAAACAATAGATAAACGAATCCTTTGATTTTGATGTTAAGTGATTCTGTTGACACAACTTGAGAATTATTCCTTTGATACAGGTCATCGTCAATTTACAATGATTTTGTTCTCACACCTGACGTTTTCAGTCCTGGATATACAGTCTGACTCAGAAATGAGGGTAAGCTGAAACACCGACTTCGATACCTTCTCCACTCTCAATGATCGCAACAGCGCATCCAATGTCTCGAAGCAATATCGGTAATGTTATGACTGTGACTTCCTCTTATACTATAGACACCAACAGCGTGCACTTTTACAAGCGCCAACAACACCATCATAAAAGATATCCAAGCCTCTTTCAGAATGCAACACCAATCAACAAATGAGAGAAAAGTGGTGACATTAATCTAAATAAAAAGCAGACTCACTCTAGATCAAGGTTCTGTACGAACTCATGACACGGCAGTAACAAATAATAGCTCTCTAAAAATGACGAAACAAACGCAGCTTCGTAGTAACATATCGCTCGACACATCATAAATACAGAAGAGGAATAAATCAAATCATCTACGATTCTTTTGAGACCGTGTTGCTTTCTATGACCAAAAACGTTCATTTACCCACTGACAAAGGTAGACAAGCAGGCTAATTGAAGAAAAAAATCGCATTCACAATGGCTGCTCTGAAATTGGTGAAAACACTTTTGTTAGACAGACAGACAGACAGACAGACAGACAGACAGACAGACAGACAGACAGACAGATAGATAGATAGATAGATAGATAGATAGATAGATAGATAGATCTACACCATCTTCTCCCACATAATTCTAGTCAACTACACTTTTACTACTTTAACGCACAAGACCAACACCATAGAGCTACGTGTGTTCCAAAAACATTATTTCACGATGTTGGCGCACAACACGTGGGGTCATGCCAATGAATGTCTTATACACATACGGTAACTTTTATCAAAAGGCTTGTTCTCTTGAACCTATAAAAAAACCTGCACATGGATATAGTGTGACTGGTAAGCACATCAGCAACGAATGAAGGTACACACAGGCACTTTGCCCTTTAGGCTTCCCCAAAAGTCAACGTCTCAAACATTTTTCTGGAGACTACGGTGTTAAACCTAGAAAATGCGTTACAACTTATAGAAGTCCTTTCAACACCATGAGTACAGCCGCAAAGGGTGCATGCACTTACTATACAGCAATAATAAAGATTAAACGGGGGCTTCTCAGTTCACGACAGAAATCCTATGCCACAATTATTATAAATATATCCTTAAAGACAGCAATTGAATTTTAAAATTTTAATTTTTTAAAGCCACGTCACTATTGACGGTACACATCACCGTGTTGTGCGCTTTTATAGTTTATAGTACAAAATAGATTTACTGAAAGGCTTTTGGCTCAACAAGGACGACCTCTAAATGACACGCTTAAAAAAAACAAAATTTCTCAAGCCCACAACGATTACAAATTCGCTCACCAAGTTGGATAGAAATAGGCATATTACAGGCTATTCTAAAGAAATAATTTGCAGAACGTTGTTTCCAAGGGAACAAAATCTGACCCTCTATTCATGTATCTCTTCTTTGACACGAACTTGGAGGGAAACCAAAATAAAAGGAAGGCGAGCCCTGTCACACACTAATAACTTCTAAATAATTCCAAGACTACAGTCAAATTCGATACAACACTACAGGCCTACCTCCTATTAATATTACTCAAAGTAAGGCCGTTCGTATGCTATCTTGACACCTTGAAATTGTACCTAGATCTATACAAAAGACGTCTTATGAGCAGCACACCGTTCTAAAAAGTGGTAGATCTAGATCTAGATCTAGATGTAAGCCAGTAGTCGCTCTAATTCATTATCGTAAGCACGTCCTCCACAAACATATCGCCAGGAAATATTATGCATTATATAACTGTCGTCCAGGGATACTTTTCAACGAAAACTAATCGTCGTAAAAAATAGAAACAGATACTAAAATAAGCATGGAAATGTCCATGTCCATGTCCATCTCGCCTCCAAAGCAACAAAATGCAGATTCGACGAGCACGCACTTGTTATACACCAGGAATAAAATATAAGGTCACTTATAAATGCCCGAAGCAAAGCACACCTTTCTCTCCACTATGATCGTGCATACTGATCTGCTCGTCAATGTTGTGAGGAGTCTGCTGTAGAGCTCGCTTCAACGACCCACCACTAGAGCCTCCGCGCTACTCACTAATAATATTGATCGCACCACGCAAAGAAATTAGAATCCCGTGTGAACTGAAGGAGCGAGAGGGGCACTGTGTGTGTGTGTGAGAGAGAGAGAGAGAGAGAGAGAGAGAGAGAGAGAGAGAGAGAGAGCCTGTGAA